AAGAAATCATGGAATAATTTTCTTTAACAAAACGTTACATAGTTAGTCAGGTTGAAAAAAGGCACAAATCCATCGAGTTCAACCTATGAGGGGGAATAAAAGCCTAAACAGAACGCTATGCCCACAATTACCCACTGTTAATCCAGACGAACATACTGGCTCTCTGCACCTCTACAGGGTGTGCAAGGGAGCTGTACAAGCAATGCACATATGGATGAAGCTCCATCACAGTACAGCAGCCCACACCTGACCCCAGGCTAAGGATCCACTCCAGTTCTCCTAAGGTAGGGAGACTGGATGGATCTGATAACGAACTGTACTTCACAATCTAACCTACCGTGCATTTTGGTGTGAGAAGTGCATTGCATTGCCATTCATTTGAATGGCACCCCAAATGCACCTCCCATCCACAGATCTATTGCCCGCATCGAAACGTGCAGTACCGCAATGCTGAGGAACCATCCTTGTGCCTACTCAACAGCGTACAAAAACCCTGCGTGGTGAACCGAAGATCTAAAATTTTGATTCATTAGTCTATAAGACCTTCTTCCAGTCTTCAGTTGTAAACTGACGGTGCTTCATGGCCCAGGCAAGCCGCTTTTTCTTATTTTGCCATCTTAGCAATGGTTTTCTTACTGCCACTCGACCTGTCAAACTTGCAGCTTGAAGTCTTCTCTTCAAAGTTGAAACTGAGACTTGATAACTTCGATCAGTGTTAAGCTGTGCTTGAAGCTGTTGTCCTGTGAGACGCCTGTCACACAAGCTGTTGACTCTCAGAAACTTGTCTTGTGATTGTGTTTTGGCTTTGGGTCTGCCAGACCTCTTCCTGTCAGAGTTTCCTCCAGTTTCTAAGTGCCTTTTGATGGTGTAGGAAACTGTGTTCACAGACACCTGGATTTTCTTAGCAATTTTTCTAAAGGAAAGACCTTCACTTTTAAGGGTTATAACGGTCTGTCTTTCTTCCTTTGTTAATTGCCTTTTCAGCGCCATATTGAGAGCAATGTACAAATTCCTGCAGTACAATTTTGTCCATATATTGCCTAATAGGGTGTAGTAACAAAGTCTGTTCCATCACTGCTTTTATACAGAGATACAGACAGAGGGCTTGTAAGTAATCAACAAATGTTAGGACACCTGGAGGAATTGTTAGCACAAACTTTCAAGGCTGAATTTACTTACATTGCTGCAGAAAAAGTGTAAGTTGTTAACCCATTACTTCTTCCCTGATAAAGGCTTTTTTGTATAACTCTGAAATGTACATTATTTTTCAATTTTTGTTAAGCAAAACTTCTTTCTTTTCACCTCTGGCAGTTTACCGCTTACCTTTACCATACCATTTCAGGTTATTAACACCTTTGATGACACCAAAATAGGGAGGGTAATAGACACGGACTTAGACACTATAACATTACAGGAGGACTTGGATAAAATAGGGGAGTGGGCATTAATGTGGCAGATGAGGTTTAATGTCGATAAATGCAAAGTAATGCACTTTGGAATTAAAAATAAACAAATGGGTTATACAATTATGGGTATGCCGCTAGGGAAGTCAGAAATGGAGAAGGATTTGGGGGTCATTGTAGACCACAAACTGAAAGATAGTTTGCAGTGCCAGGCTGCTGTAAACAAAGCTAGCAGTGTTTTGTCCTGTATTAAAAAGGGGATGTATTGCAGAGACAAGTCTATAATTTTGCCACTTTATAGATCATTGGTTCGACCTCATCTGGAGTACGCGGTCCAGTTCTGGTCACCAGTACTAAGAAAAGATGTCCTTGAGTTGGAAAAAGTCCAGCGAAGGGCAACCAAACTAATTAGGGGTATGGAGGACCAGAGCTACGAGACAAGGCTACTAAATTTAAACATGTTCACATTGGAGGTGAGGAGATTAAGGGGGGATATGATTTCCATGTACAAAATGTTCAATGGTGGTAGCAACATTAGCGATAAACTGTTTAAAATTAACTCCGTTACAAAAACTAGAGGCCATCACCTAAAATTGGTGGAAAAAAAATTCCAGCACAAGGGGCGAAGGGGGTTCTTCACAGTAAGATCAGTTAGGGTCTGGAACTCACTGCCACAGGCGGTGATTTCAGCAAATAATGTGGAATTGTTCAAGAAACTTTTGGACGATTTCTTAAGGGACCGTAATATACAGGGGTACAGGTAATATACAGGGGTACAGGTACTCCTAGAATGAGATCCTAATAGGTTGGACTTGATGGACTAATGTCTTTATTCAACCTCAAATACTATGTAACTATGTAACTGAACTTGAACTGCTTACATTTAAATAAAAACTTGAAAAATGGGGTTGTTCTAAAACTTTGTACCGGTAGTGTACATGTGGAAAGAAACTTAGTAATCAAACTGCTGAGTGGAATGTGAAGATGATTAACTCAAGGTTGGACCCATTCAGATGTTATTTCAGCAATAAAAAAATAACAATAATAAATACAAATTTACTGGCTATTCAATACGCAGCTCTGTCTGCTCAAATTCCAGTCTTCCTGTTGAACTAGTTCTCTTGGGCTGGAATGGCCAATCATGGGGGTTTTGTTGTTGTCGCTATTGTCTACCTGATAACACACTTTTTTTTAATTGCAAGACGGTTTGTCTTGCAATAAAAAAATGTGCCTTGTCTATTTCTATCTGTTGCCTATACAGCTGTTCACATACTGGTCTGTTGCCAAACACAAACCTGAAGTATGTATTTGTAATATTTTAGGAATAATTGCAGATATGTGGATGGGAGGAGGTTCAGAGAAAGTGTGGTTGTGGTTTTCCAGTATTTTTTTGCACACTCTGTTTCAACAGTTTCTCAAACTTTTAAGACAATGCAGTCTGGTACTGGTACCTGGTACTGGTACCTTTTTGGTACTGAAAAAGAAGAGGCTCACAAACTACACTAATACTGTTTTGCCACTGTTTGAAGTTGAGATCTTTAGCTTAATTTTTTTAAGAGTAAACTTTCCTTTAGCTTTTAGATTTGTTGTGGCTGCTATTTCTGCTAAATCATTTAGGCCTATTACCGCTAGATTAAAAAAAATTGAGTGGGCAGCAAAAAATATCTAAAATGCTTTTTACATAAGTTAAAATGAATCATATTGGGGTATTCCCATTGTATTCAAGCCAAGCTAAATGTAAAATCAATTACACATCTAAAATATGTGATGGCAAAATACATTATCACTGATGCAGCCCTTGAAAATTGTACTGTTCTATTATACCCCATACAGCTTAAAGGCATGTCCCTAACCATGTGATTTAAAGGATTGGTGTTTTCTCCATGTTGAAGTCCCATTGAAAGGACCCTCTCCTCTCAATAGTTTAAAAAAAAACTTTTTTTACTTTGTTAAATGTCCTTTAATGGCAGTGCCCAGTCCCCCGTGCCCTTTTTTGATAGTAGTTTGCTTATTTGTCCAGCTGCAGTGGCAGACTTATGGAACAATGGACCCTGGTGCAAGATTGTTTTGACCCCCCCTTCCCAGCTCTTACAATGCCGCCCTGCCCACCTATAGCCATTACATTCTGCTTTTCTGTATAGAGGACTACAACTCCCAGCAATTCTTTATACAGAAATGCAGAATTGTAATGGCTATAGAGGACTACAACTCCCAGCAATACTCTCGACAGAAATGCAGAATGGTAATGGATATAGAGAACTACAACTCCCAGCAATACTCTCTGAAGAAATGCAGAATGGTAACGGCTATAGGGGACTACAACTCCCAGCAATACTCTCGACAGAAATGCAGAATGGTAATGGATATAGAGAACTACAACTCCCAGCAATACTCTCTGTAGAAATGCAGAATGGTAACGGATATAGAGAGCTACAACTCCCAGCAATACTCTCTAAAGAAATGCAGAATGGTAACAGATATAGATAACTACAACTCCCAGTAATACTCTCTACAGAAATGCAGAATAGTAACAGCTATAGGGGACTACAACTTCCAGAATTACACGCTACAGAAATGCAGAATAACTCCATCAGTTATAAAGGACTACAAATCATGTCACAGAACTTACATACACATACAGAAGATAAAAGCAGCAGAAGATAAAACCTCCTCCTCCACGGCAGGAACACCATGTAGCTGGGAGAGGTGGTGGGCTGTGTTATCAGGAAGCTGCTTGGTTCCTCCCAGCCGAGGCCCCAGCACTGCCTCGCCGGTTGCTTGCAGTCTGCTCTGCCTCACTCTGGCCTCACTGCCGTGCGGCCATTTGTGCGTGCGGCTGGCTGGCCCCCTATCTCTTGTCCTACCTTGCTACTGGTCTGGTGCCTGGGCCTGCTGGGCCCCCCCAGGCTCAGGCCCCAGTGCAGCCGCACCGGCTTCACCAGCGGTAGTTCCGCCCCTGTCCAACTGGATACATATTTTAGCATGAAATAGAAAATTGAGTGTATCCAAACACTTAAACCATATATGTTTGCTGCACAGGTCCACTTAGACAGTTGAAACCAAAAAAAGTGCCACCCTCTATGCCTGTTCTGGTGACAAATTGAAGTTTCCCTTCATCAGGACAAATATAAAGATCCTAACCCTTCACCACTCCAAAAAAGGAAAACATTGGCATTAATGCATAGCAACCAGTAATCATTTTTCTGCTGATGTCTTTATATGGTGGTCATTGTATTCTAACTGAAAGGTTTGGGTTGCTTCAAATATACAAAGCATGACAATATTTTGACACAGCCATCATAACATCTACCTAATGGAATATGAAGGGAAACAAGAGCTACGTTTTACTTGATTGGCCATTTAGCATTTTGTTGCATTGTTTAATTAGGTGTCATAGTAATTTGGCATATAGATGATTTACATTCTAAATTTATGCTTCAAATCCAGACGTATGCCAACCTTTCCTTTACTACTAAGTTGAGTAGATGTAACACATGTTTCTGGATAGACAGTATCCAATTATATTGCTGTTTGTATATACTGCAAACTGTTTTTATATACTGCACTTGTATTATATAATTACACTCTCTTCCACAGGAGTCCAGCATCTACCCGCACTGAGAGTATACAATCTACAGGATCATCCTCAAGCAAGCAAGAAACACGACCACCAAGATTAAAAAAGTTGATCAGACAGTATAGTTTGTGAGTGGTGTCAATTTGTGCATATATGCTTGCTAAACCATATCTATATTTATGTAGAACAATAATATTGCCACAGCCTAGTTTTGGTATGGTTAAGTTGGTGCAGAAATCACCAGTATATCTTTCTAGTACAAATTAGCTGCATTTGCATACACTCACATGATTAGAAGAACAAGGCTGCTTCAGATTGTGGTGTTCATTGAACAGGCAATGTACAGTCTGCATTTGGTACTGATGTAACATGTAGCGAGCTGCACTCGTGCGCATATGCTACATGAACTCCATTAATGACTTCATTTCAGATCTTTGTCTAGTGCACCAAAGAGAACTCAATACAATGCAGCCTGTGTGCTTGGATGAAAATTTCTGCAATGCTTAGCTCTCTCCTTATTTATCGCAGGCCATCTAAAATCATTAACAGTACCTTTTATGCTTCGGATCCATGGCTTTTTAGTGTACCAGAAACAGCTTAATCTGCACTTCCTGTAGATATTGTGTATTTATTATATAATATTTGCAACTATATTACTTTAAAAATATCATGCTTTTAACAGGCCTAAAAGTGATATTCGCCTGTCCATTTGTGTGAATGAAATGTAAAGTGGTTAGAACAATATTAAAATGTAAACTGACAAATACTAAAGCTATAAACATTGGTCTGTTCACAAAGATGTCAATTTACCCCTAGTTAAAAAAGTTTGATTCACACTGTTGCATTGCAGTGCACCACAACTCAATCTACCATAACATGGTACTGTGTGATGTGGTGCATACATGCACCTTTTTTTGTTGTTTTGTTTTGGTGCATATGGCAGCCCATTAAATAAATGTACTTCCTTAATGGAACCCACATTAATGCATGACATAATGCACGTTAACATATCACACAGATGTAGCAGGTCCTAATGGTTTAAGATAGATATGCTCCAATTTGATCAGACAACAGAACCATAACAACTTAACAAACAAGGCAGCAAGAGTTTTCCATAGCTGTCAAACGTGTCTAAAATGATTTTTAAATAGTCAGAGTTAAACATCCTTGTCAGCAGTATGCTTGGAATGGTTCTCTGAATTATGTAGTAGGAAAAAAAATAATCAGTTCTTTAAGTTCAAAAGCACTCTAAATATAATATAATAGGAAGTCTTTGTTGTAACCAAAAAATACAACGCAAAAAAGAGTATCATCTATCTCTATCCATCAGGTCATTTCACAGGGGCAGATGCTTTTGCACCACTGGACTATACCTTTTTTACCAAAATATTCAATAAACAAAACTCTAGGCTTCCTAAATCGGGCTTTTCTTATATAAGAATTTAAATTTTATGTTGGGTTCTAAAAACTCTTAAAATTATATTAACAAAAATTTCATTTGATCAGAACAAATTACACTTTTTAAGTAGTCACCCTATCATTTTGAGTTAAGTGTATAAGATCCTAAAAAAAAAAGTTCAATGTAAGCATGGGAAGAAAAATATTTTGGCCAGTAAAAGGACAATGATCCATTCAGTAGTTTTGTAAAAAGTTGTTGTATCAGCTCAGTGTACAGAGCATAAAACAATATGCCATTGTGAAGTAGAACAACGTGCAGCATATCCAAGAACTGTGAGAATGAAGTCCCAGTTCTAATGTAGTCATACTGGAAACAATTTGGTAATCTGAATAATTTTGACAGATGTAATTAAAAATATAACAATTATGCAAACACTTATTTTAACAGATTTCATGTCACTCTGATTAGTGACCTATTAAAGGATCATAAACATCATAATGAAGTCCACAACAGTGCCGAGATCCTTAAATGACTGCTCCCTAAATTGAGTTGTTACTGGATATTGGCCTGGTCACTATTTAGTGGGCAGTAGAAACGTTTGACCATTTCACTTTGCTTTTATAAATATCAACAACCTGAAAGGGATATGTAGGGTTTAAAGATACAAAATGATAAAGCTCTACAAATGTACAGTATTTCCCAAGTTATCTTACATTTGTATAAGACATAGTAAAAGCTAAAGTCTTAATCTTTTTGATTAGTCTACACAAAATAGTGGCTTATGCCACATAATATGGCAGAGAGAGATAAACCATTGCTTTCCATTTAGTGTCGTCTCAGCTTAACACAAGAATAGGTGCACTTACACCTAATAAATTGGATATATAAGGCACCTGGCTGAGATGACATCCATCCCTGTGTACCAAAATATGAAGGCCATAAGCTGATAAATCACTATATCTAATTTATTAGACTCTTTTTCAAATGGGACAGTTACACAAATATGGGCAAAAGATATGAGCTAGTAACTCTAGACTAGTAAAATAGACTGGTGTGTGTAAAATTTGTATAAGTATTTTTCAGGTAGACATACAAAAATATATAATAGCAAAGATTTGTTAACAGAGAACCAGCACAGGTTTATAAAATGTAGGGCATATCTAACCAGCATGGCAAGTTTAACCCTTTGACTACTAAGGGCATATCTTCTTCATCCTTGCAGTAAAAGGTTAAAACAAGCTCACCACTGCTAAAATTAATCAGAAGTTTCTGCTGTATAATGTGAAGTGATCTGGGTGGCTGTAAAGTCGTTCACTTCTACAGATCCCATGTTCCCAGTGGGGAGGAGAAAGCTGTCAGGAGGCCAAGTAGGGCAGAAAGCTTTGGTGGGAAGAGGGAGGGGGCAGGTTCAGTAAATATGTTAAATATTTATCGACCCTTGGCTGTACTGAGCAAACACCGACTGATCAGTACTGATCACTTGGTGTTTGTAAATAACTGAGGACATAGTGATTACAATATCCCCAGTTATGTATGAACAGGATGTGCTATAAACCATTTCATTTAGAAATGAACAGGAAGTAGCACAGCACAGAGGCTTCATGACTGTGTTCATAGTAAATATTTATTTTCTTCAGATTGTGAATGAGCAGGAAGCCTATATACAGAGTGATTCCTGTTCATAGAGTGCTGGGGCTGCATAAAAAGAGATTGAGGACTATGTGTCCTCAATCTCTTCTATTTTAAAAGGGAAATATCAGGGGTCTGTTTAGACCCTTGATATTTCTCCAAAGCCCCCCCCCCTTATAGTAAACAAAAAAAATAAATAAAAATAATGTAAAAATATTTTTATATGTTTAAAACGGTTTCAGCCTGACAAATTTAGAAATTTTGGTTTCAGTCTTAAAATTTTATTTAGGTGCATCCCTAGTTACAATGTATTTAGTCTTCTGGTACACCTAAGGCAATGCTTTTTTTTAAGATGATGAGGACAAAGGTTATCTTTCATTGCATATATACTCAGATAAAACTAAATATAAATTAAACAAGAAGAATAAAGAAAAAGATTTGTAAGAACTTGTGGTAATAACTTTTTTGTGGTAATGATTTTTTTCATCAGTAATCATAGTGATGAGGATGATCTTCCCCCAGCACTAGCTGCAGTAGCTGCTGAATCTGCTGCTGAGCAGAGAGCGGCCCTTCTCCTGGCTTCCAATGCAAATTCTCAGGCTTCCTCTATTGAAAAGGTATATATCACAACAATGCATTTAAATTTCAGCATTATAATGAACAATAAGCATGACCAATAAAATGCTAACAGGAGTTCTAGTATTCCCTTACTATATTTTTTTATTTTTGTCTGTGTTACTGTTAGATATTTTCCCTCACTTCCTGTCTGGAGAAACCTTCCCCACTCGATCAAAATCAGAAAAGTTTATAAATCCTCTACCCTGCCATACGTTGGCTGAATACTGTTCACATGGCATTCTCTCCACTAGATGCAGCTGAAGTGCATAGGCATTTCCTGGTTCCTCAGCTCCATCTAGTGGCGAGAATGCCATGTGACTGGCATTCAGCCAGCATATGGATGGGTGAATGATTTAAAAGTCATGGGTCAGCCCTCCAGCTGTGATTAAACTACAAATCTTATTAGGCATTGCAAGAATCTGACAGCCACAGGCATAACTTCCAAAGACAGATGTAGGATTTGTAGTTTTACCACAGCTGGAGGGCCAAAGTTTGACTACCCCTGCCCTAAGTTTGCGTAGGTAAAGTGGCATTAAACCCTCCAGTATCAAATAACATTTGTATGTACATCTGTTTTCTGTGCTTAAAAATGTCATGTATTCTTATAAAAGCTACTTGTAAAGGTATTCTCATACCTTTATCATTCTTCCCCCACTCTTTGACAGGTGCAGTGCTCCCCACAACTTCCAGTTGGGGAATGCACACACATGCTGTCTAAAAGTCACGGACATGTCCCATAAGTAATTGCGGTCACCGTAGAAGTATGCATATGCATAGAGTTTCATTCAATGTGTGCTTCTCTTGTAAAAAGCCAAAGACAGGCTGAACTGTCAATCAAGCAGGTGGGTGGGTCAAATGTCCTCCTAATTTCCAGCCTCTCTGTGCCACCTGTGCATGTTGCAATGTGCGGTAGTCCATCGGTAGGGAGTGCGCGCTCTGCTCTGGCTCCATGGAGACACTGTTAGTGTCTCCATGGAGAGGAGACACCACAGAAAAGTATGTGTAGTTAGGAAATAGAAACTAATGTTCCTGTGAGAACAACATGCATTAGAAAACATGATAAAACGTAAGTTTGGCTTTGCTCTTTTAATTTATATCCATTCAGATAAATAGCACTTCCAAAGTACTAGCCAACATTGTCTCCCTGCTCAAAGTACATATGTTCCAGCACTTTGCCTATGACGTGTCCTGTTTTCCGGCATATCCAAGTGCTTTTTTGAATGTGCCTTTTTTAAGGAACCATTATTACCAGCCAGGGTATCAAACATTATGCTTCCTCACACAAGGGGAATGAGTAGTCAGCAAACAAAAAAAGTCTTGTCTGGGAAGGGAGGGGAGAGAAGCAGAAAGGGGCAGCCACATTCTAACCACAGTAGCTCTTGGATTTTTTTTTCTGCATTGTAGAGCTACATGGATTTTCAAGGCTGGGCTGCTCTGTACATAAACTGCATGTATAATACCAGGAGTTGCTTTCAATAAGATTCTGTTGATAAATCATGGCCCTGTCAGAGACTACAGGTTAACTTTAATGCTTACCAGCATTATTATGATGTTACATGTCGGCTTATTTATGAATCTGTAATTATATGTATAGTATAAAATAACTATGACTGCAGTTTTGGTACACACTGCATTGTTTTTCATTAACATATTTATTTTACAGAGTCCTAGTAGAGCAAACAGCTCATTCACATTAGAGCCAGGTGACCTTCTGATGGATTTCACAGAAGCAACACCAATGGTAAGTCCACCATGCTCATTTGTATTGGTGGGGAGAGTTAAATGTTCCTTTTTTCAACATTAAGCAATGCTATTTGTATAGCCCTTGCACAAAAGGTTTAACAATACTTGTGGGCCTTACTGATGTGTAAACACGCCAAAGCAATTTAAACGTGCAATTACCATTTTGCTAGAAGGTATAAAGAACTACAACCACTAAGGTATGAATTAAAAACATACACAGCACACAGAGTGGGACCGTGTGCAATACAGAATATACAGCCCTGCATATAGAATGGAATGCAGAGCTTCCAGAATGAGATAATGTGGAACAGCAGGGTGTAAAGAATGAGGTAGTGTGGACAAAGAATGCATAGCATACAGTATGACGTGGTGTGACATAGGGAATGGACAGTATGGTATACAGAGTGAGGTGGTGTGGTATAGGAAATGTACACCCCAGGGTACAGAATAAGGCAATGAGGGAAAGTGTACAGCATGGTAAAGGAGGAGACAATATGGAATAGAGAATGCATAGCACAGTGTACAGAATAAGGTGCTGTTGAAGAGAAAATGTACAGCACAACATCCAGATAGGGAATGTACAGCCCAGTGAACAAAATGAGGTGCTATGGAACAGGGAATTTAAGGCACAGTGTACATACTGAGGCAATGCTGAATAGGGAATGTACAGCACAGCACATAGAGGCAGTGTCAAATAGGGGATGTACAGCTCAGTGTACAGAAAAAGATGGTATGGAATAGGAAATGTATAGCACAGCTTATAGAATGTAGTGGCGTGGAATAGGAAATGTACAACCCAGCATACAGAACAAGGTGGTGTTGAATGAGAGAGTATACCACAGCACGCAGAATAAGGGGGTGTTTAAATAGGAAATGTACAGCCCAGTGTAAAAAAAAGGTATTGAATAGGGAATGTACAGTGCAGAGAATAGACTGTGGTGGTGTGGAATAGGGGGCGTACAGCCCAGCATACAGAATTTTTTGGTGTGAAATGGGGAACATATACTGTGCTGCGACTGTTCGGTGCGGTGTGCTTCCCTGCTTTTTCAAAATGGTGCACCTATTTTTTCATGCGCCTCAATACATGACAATGTGTGGAATTAGGGCACATGGTGGTGTGGATGAGCCCTTGTATTGGTATATACCTTTTTCTGTAAATATTGTAGTTGATAGACACACATTTTCAGATGTCAGATAAGGAAAGTGGCTTACCCAGCTCCCAGTGTTCCCAGTGATCAGTGCTCTACTCCCTCAATCATACAGCACTGCATGCAGGGCAGGCACAGCCAAAACAAATAAAATCTCTGTGAAAGTAATAGAACACCTCCTGAACTAAGAAGAACCTCTCCTAGACTACCTGTTGCTTGTGGAACATTTACAGCAGTAGCTTCATAGCTTCAGAGGTCTGACAGGAAGCAGTGGGGGCAAAAGCCACCCTAGGAGTAGACAGTGAGGAGGTAGCAGGGAGTTACCAGCCTGAGAGGGACATTCTCCCTCCTGCACCTTTGCCATGTTTGTTCCTAATAACATATTATGCATGTAGCCAAATACTATCTTCTGCACTCTTGAAATGTATTCTGTTCACACACAATCTTGGATTTTTTCACAATTATAGTGGAAGCTACAAAAATTGAAACAGAGAAATTTGCAAATACTGTTGAAGCAATGATACATAATATATTTTTAATTAGCATAATGTATGAAATGTGGTTACAAATGTCCACATAGTACACGATACAGAAGATTATTCAAAATATATATATATATGCACAGATAAAGCAATGCTCTACATATAAATTATTATAGGTACAAAGAACCTGGCTTAAAACATTGTTGGAATTGGTTTGTGTTTCCTACACTATAAAAAGTACTTTTGAAATCTGGCGATCACAAATTGTTACAAAAACGTAAATTAAACTTTAACCTTTAAAAAACTTCCCCCTTAGCATTCCCCTCTACATTTACCTGTTCTCACCCCTAGGAGAGATTTTCTGTGCAGCCCACTGGGGACTGCACAGCTTCCTCACAAAGTGAAATCTCTATATATTTCTCTATATACTGTATTGATATTTCTATGGAAAGGCTGTCCTCTATTGGTTCCAGAGAAGGTGAATCTACTCAACAGACAGCATTGAAAGTGCAACAGAGGCTTTAATTTGTATTCTTTACCAAAACACTGCAATTCCACTTTCTGCAGATATATGATGATTGTGCTTATAGCACAACTAAGATGAGATAAGTTTAAGAGCCTAGTAGTTTTGCTGACAGCCTTTCCCTCCATTACTTAAAATCATTTTTACTTGTCTGTTGGAGAGTTTCCTTCTCTTCCTATCTGGTGAAAAGGTTGTCTCTGGGACAGTGAGTAAATAGAAATCTCTCTAATGGAACCCTGGACAATAGTAAAACCTGGACAACAGTAAAACCTAACAGGTGTGCTAATCCTTCCCTACTCTATCACAAACTAAATAAAACGTTTATGCTGTACATAGACCTTACTAGCAGTATAGGTGAGTGTTTTAGTAGGCACATTTATACAGCAATTTGTTTGTCTGATTCTTGTATTAAAGCCAAGGATACTGACCCAGAAGTAGTATTTAACATACCTTTACTATGCAAGAAATTCTACTACTTTGTTAAATGAAAAACAACACAAAACATACAGGCTGCTCATACATACATACTGTACATTCAAACATGCATACATACATACATACATACATATATACATACCATGCATACACTATACCCTTCTCTGACACATGTAATGGTTTCTATAAGAGGATACACTAAAATGTTACTTAGCTTGGAGTTGCAGGTGTACAAGATTGCGTATTGAATACAATTTTGTGGCTAGCAAAATGGCTTCTGGTTGCAGTTTCTCTTGAAGTGTACGGGAAGAAAACGCGCGTGTGACGCGCTTATGCAATACGCACAGGTGTGAACCAGGCCTAAGTGTCCTTTTCTGTGAAGTCCTCTTGTTTTATCTGGGCTGCTAACTTTTATTCAGAAAAAATTGGTAGCCCACTTGTGGGCGTCACCCTTAATCTAATCCATCAGATTTCTATGGCCGGTATATTTGTTTTTCCAACTCTAGATAGCAGCACAACACCACAAATGCAGTTAAATGCCAAAGGCTAGGCTATTGTTAATCAGCTTGGGTGTGTTATTGACACTAAGCTTCCCCAAAACAATATCCCATTGTGAGGAAAAAATGGAAAAACAATAGAGGTCAGCTGCACCATTGTCAGAAAACTGGCTTTAAACAATGAAAAAACACAACTGAAGTAGATTATCTCACTCATTGAGTACAATTACTCATTTATATAACATGCAAGGCAGGTGATCACCTGAATGCCACCTAAGTGCCCTTCATTATGCAAACTACAGATTTCGGGAGGCAGCAATTTCTAAAAGCTTTATAAAACAGAAATACTTTATAGATTCTCCCAGAGAGTATAGATCATTGTTGAAGCCCAGCACAGACTTTCCTGTTAATTTGTAGCATTATTATGTCTCTCAATTTTGTTCCTGATTAGTATACAGTTGTCTAATTAAGCTGTGTGAATATTCTTCTTGCACAGCTCATAAATTATCAGAAACAAAGATGAGAATTTATATACTTTCGGTGTATAATGCTACCTGTGGTTACATAAACAATAAGATAGTGAAAATTACATTTTAGTCAGCTTACAATTTTATCTTGTTTTTTTTTATTAAAAGACTACTTAGGAAAAACACAAAGACTGATAATCAACTCTTCTTAGTTTTATATAGTTACATGGTTAGTCTTTGGTCTTTGGCTGTGATCAGTTGCCATTGTTGGCCAGTCCTCCCTTCTAGACCTCATAATGCCTTAAAGCCCATTTCCACCTTTGCAGAGGTATTTGTAAAAAACATATGCCAGCATTATATGCTGAGTGTACATGAAGCAGACATATGCAGTTGCTGTATATGAACACAGCAATTTACATTTGTGTTAGCTTTCCTTTGTCCTGGCAGAAATACCAGACCTTGTAATACCAGGAACAGAGATGTGTGTGCTCCAATATTATAATTCATTCAATACATATTGGGCAGGATGTCATGACAAACATTCTGCTACCTCACAATAGGTTACATGAGTGTTTAAATTAAGCCATATTGGCATAATGAATGAGCTACTTCCCAGTGACATCCCACACTTGGCAGAGACGGAAATACAAATCAACCAATAATATTCGACTATTTATCACAGCAATGAACTAGTTAATTGTCTAAAACCACAAAGTCACTCCCAAAAATTGCATCATTTGGTACCTATTTTGAAAGAACGTTTAGTCAAGCTAGACATTCACTTTACCAGCACATAAGACTTAGACCGTTACAAAAAAAAAAAAGGAAGTTATGCAAAACTTTTAAACTTATAAACAAGGCTGATGAAACCTTTGTTCATCATCTTTTAAACAAAATGGAGTCTTTGACATAAATACAAAATGGCTTAAATAGCCTAACCAACTTTTCCACCTCACCTTTTCATATCCTCATGGAAATGGCTGCCTCTGTGCTCTGCAAGCAAAGTGTGTATATTACAACTGAGCTCTCCCTCTCCCCCACTTGTTAGTATTCACAGTGGCAACCCCCTTTGTGTATTGTGTGTAAAGGCAGAGCTGTTGCTTAATGATCATGTTACACAGAATCGCAGGGAGGAGGGTAGCTGTTTACACCCTGCTTTACAATCTGACCCTGGTGTCAGATTGAATTTCCTGTGGAGTAAAGTTTGAATTTCTAGGATTCAGGCCTAATAAAAGCTTCATTAAAAAAAATTAAGAAAGCCTGCAATGTGAGTCATGACAATGTGCACATGTATACACCATCACTGCACCTCTTCATTACCACAACAAATGCTAATCAATTACAATGGTGGAAATGGGCTTTAAATTTGTTCCTCTGCTAGGTGTGCCTGCTTTTTACAGGTGCCATTCAGCAGAGGTGCGGTTGTAGATCTCTCGGCCTGCTGCA